TCATCAGCTCTGTCGGAAACAGAGAGCTCACTTCGTCCTGTCTCAGTTGAGAATCAAACCGAAACGGATGAGCATGATACTGTGCAACCAGAGATGTATGTCAGGAGATCTGAACGAAGTAGTCAGCCTCCTCAAAGACTAACTTACTCTCAATTGGGCAATCCACTAGTGACCGTAGTTAGGTCCCTTTTCCAAGGACTTAATAAAGCTTTTATTGACTCTCTTACTCAAGAAGTTGTGTACCCCGTAGAAACAATGCACAGGGACGTGCATGATATTTAATGGGGGAGGATGTAACCCAGAAGCTAGAACCTTAATGAGGTATTAACTAATTGGCTTACTAATATGATCCATCCTCAATTTAGATAAAATATAAAATATAAATTAAGGAAATTAACAATACTAATTAATAGATATCTAATTAACTAATAGATAATTTCATAATGAATTATTGGAAGGGTGAATAACTAAAATAACGAGTTTAATATTAAACATCGGTTAAAACAAGAATCTTGAACATCACTAACAGAAACAGAAGAGGAAAGCTGTATACTATTGGTCCAGGTGGGAATCTGAAATTTCATTGGCTGAGAGAAATAAGTCCCGCCTCCGCGAAATAAAACCGTGCGACGCAGCTGAGCGAGAGGAGAGACAAACGGCTGTGCAGCACGCAGATACAGAAAGCAAAGACTGAGCGGTTAGAGAGAGAGAGAGAGAGAAAAAAAAAAAACAACGGTCGAGGCCGTGAAGAACCCTGATTTGGGTGCCGCATAGATAGAGGGAGAGGCGGACTTGACTCCTTCTAATAAGAGCTAGGAACTTGGAACCAACGCGGTGAGTAAAGAAAAAAGAAGAGAAAAAGCTAACGATGCAACTTAAAAAAAAAAAAAGGAAACTTAAATAGCTTATCAAATTAATTCCATTCTTATAGATTTGTGTGGAGACGACAGAGTGAACCAATCCTCTGTAGGAGGGAACCGTTGGAGCGCGTTGGTGAGTGAATGAGATTAAATTCAGTAAATTATTAAATTCAAAAAGCTAATTACAGCAACCGAGGTGACAGCAGTGGGCTGCTAGACGTTAGATCCCAGGAGTTAACATCTCAAACTACCAGTTAACGGTGGTAGGGCATATAGGAGTTAACGGCTCAAACCGCCAGTTAACGGCGGTAGGGCATATGGGATTCCCAGGAGTTAACGGCTCAAACCGCCAGTTAATGGTGGTACGGCCTAGATGTACAAGGTCCTCAGGGGCGTTATAGCTAACGCCATAGAATTAGCAATGCGTCCCTTAACCAAACATTTAATAATAAAAAAAATAGATAAATAAAAATAAATAAAAGCTAACTGATTAGGGAGGAATTATTTTACAAAGGTGGACCAAAGGACCAGAATTTATATTTTGTTGAATTTTGTTATAGAACATTTTATTTATTTATTTATTTATTTATTTATTTATTGTGTTACAGATATACAAGGTGTCACAATGCTGTATAGAAACACAACTAAATGTATCCTTGTTGTCATGAATGTATTTCTTGTTGAATAGTGTAGAGTAATAGAATCTAACTGAGCCTATTGAGCTGAACAATTGTTGTCATATGTAATTATATTTCCAGAGCTACTGAGAATTATTTTAATAGACAATCAAATTGATGTTATGTTAGTTGAACTGTGAACCCAAACATGATTGGCTATGCCAATAGAGTGAAGCATTTGTTTAAGTCTGTAAGACTTTATGCTGTGATGTGACGAGAAGGGTCGATGCCAACTCGCTAACAGTCCTGTTGTTTACAGGCTGGGTTTTTTTTTTTCCTTGGGTTTGATCCCGACTCCTATGATCACTCACTTGGAACGAGAACTGGATTTCTTCCTGACGAGGGAGATGGCGAGCCTTAACCACTGAACGAACCAGGACATCTCAAGTAACTGAAGAGCAGACTGCTCTCTTCTGTGAACAATCTCAACGGTGCGGTAGGAAAAAATCGCACCACCGGACTCTGACTTTCACCCCAAGCGTGGGGATTTGACTTGACGCCGGCTGACTTGTGACTCATATGATCAAATCTCATACTGAGCATTTTACTATTGTCGATTGTTTTCATCTGTTTTTGTGTGTTATCTTTATGTGTTATATTTCCCATTATTATTAAAATTTAGTATATAAACCGTTTCATGCTATACCCGTGACTCCAGTCATTCTTAAACAACCTCCAATTCTCCCCGAACCTAATTATTGGCCCATTTGTTTATTTTTTCTTTTAATTATCTTATTGTATCCTGTAATCCGGTTACATAATATCAAGGTATTAATGTGTTTTTTAATTAAGAGGATCATAGAGCTATTTACAAGGAAGGTTTGCTTTCGAGTAGGGAAATGCTAGCTGTATTATCGAAGGCTGCATTCCACTTCTGCATCTATGCATGCAAGTCTTTGAAACTGCTAACAAGCAGAGATCACATTAAAATGGGAAGCAGTCTTCGTTAATAAAGCTGTGCTTTCCTGACTCCTGAAGCTAAAATAATCAATCTGCGAACATTTTGACTGTTTTATGACATTAAGGCACAGGGATGGGGGGTGGTACAGGATAGGACTGCCAGCTGTAGGAACCCCCCATCTTGACCGCTTCCCCCAATCTGAATGCATATCAGACATATACATCACCACACACCAAACCGACATTAAGCACAAACACAAACACACACACACACACACACACACACACACACACACACACACACACACAGAGAGAGAGAGAGAGAGAGAGAGAGAGAGAAATATATGCTTCTACAAATATGGACAATACCATGTACCACTTCCCATTTCATTTGGTCTTGTAGTTTTTTCTATATGATGGCCTCACCGTTATGTCCTGCCTGTGTATTTGTCGTGTACTATTGTCCCTCTACTCTCTACTCCCTCTCATTCCCTCATTGCGTTGTATGTCTCTTTTCTCCCTGCCTGTCCGCTACGGTGCATAGGCTAATGCAGTCCAACATACCACAAACCTAATAAAGGCTACTGCTCAACAGAGGAATATCCCACACCTGCTACTGCTCTGGCACCCGGATCAACCATTCTGTCTGCTTCAACTCCCAGGACAGGACAGGTTATAACTCTGCAAACAAGCTAGCTTTGAAACACAAACCAAATCACATAACTTTCACCCCACCGTCAGCTATCATCCCCAGGCCACATCCCGCGGACACCAGAATACGCATTGCCGCAGTAAATAAGAGCACAGTAAACACCAGTCGCGTTTTTCCTCTGTGTCTGAAAGATAACCTTTGTTAAAGGTTGGTTTATGCTTGACGCGTCCGCGAGGTCCGCACGGCTCCGCGCGGAAAAGTTGCGTCATTTTGCGTCATTTTAACAACCACGCCCCTCCGCACGGCCCAGAATTTCCGTAACGCGCACCTCGGAAAATTTCTAACCACGCGGACGGACTGACGCGGAAAAACATGGCGGACCGGCAAGAACTAGTATGGCAGAGGTTCGTAAATACAGACATTTGTATGATTCAGCTCTCAGAGATCACCGTGATCAACACGTTGTAAATAATTCTTGGAGAGAAATAGCTCGCACTGTCGGAAAAGACGAGGACACTGTTAAAAATGCTGAAATGCCATGTTGTAAACAGTCATTTCTACTTCTACTATGGTGTAGTGTTGGATGCATGCCGTAGAGCTCCATGCTGCCCCGTTCAGTTTGGGAGAATATTGGCTCACCGCAGAGACGAGCCGCACGAACCATAAACGCTGCGAGTTGTGAAGCACGTTCCATCCGCGAGCCGCATCACCGCGCGGAAAGTGAATGCGTCAAGCATAAACCAAGCTTAAGACTCCCCTTTCAGTGGAGCCAGTCTCCCCCTGTCTCCCCTGTTTTTCAAACCTTGACCCCACCCACTAGAGCCAGTTTTCAATTGTAATGGAAAACAACTCAAACCATGTGGAGTTAGGCCTTGCTGAGAAGGCTCTAGTGGAAAAGCGCCATCAAATCACTCCTCAAACCCACCTAACCCCTTTCCTCTTGCACCCAGTGTTGTGGTGACCAGTTCGCCACCAATGCAAAAGCCGGTCTTGTATTTTATTTCTTCAGAGCTGCTGTATTTGATGACATGTGGAAGACAAACTGAAGCTTGAACAGTGAATAACTAACTGATCATTCACCAAAGATCCACAGTTCAGTAGTTTAGTTATGACTTCCATGTAGTTGAGATTAGTTTAGGTTTGCAGTATTTATGCTCCTGCCTTGTCTCTCTGGGAACTTTGTGAGATATTCTGAGCTGCAGATGGAGTTTGGGTCAAGAGGAGTAAACAGTGGGTGGATGGTGTTTACTATGAACTCTGAGAACCTCTGAACTCTTTGTGCGAGTGGGGATGTCATGTATGCTGCTGTGGGTCAGGAAGTGTATATGTTTATAACAAATGACAAGCAGATGGAGTGTTTGTGTGTGCGTGTCTGCAAGTGATTAAGCATGCGCGAGTGTGTGTTTGTGTGTGTGTTTGAGGAGTGGGGAGGGGTTGTTGCAGTAGATTAGCCAGGTTGAGATGATTGGGTTGAGGATTAGACAGATTTAGGAACAGACATGTCTGTTTACTCCTCCAAGAGGACTTAAAATAGGTTGATTGGCAAGGTTGATTACACACACACACACACACACACACACACACACACACACACACACACACACACACACACACACACACACACACACACGCACACGCAATTGTGTAAAACTGTCTACGGTGATTATTCTGATGCCTTTCTATCCACCATCTCTCCTAAATTTAGATGTAAAGTCTGCATCGCTCTGCCTCTCAGACTTGATTCCCATTAGGACTCACAGAACTTGCAATCAGAGAAGGTGTGCAACTAAACCCAGCTCCGGCAGGTAAGAGGAGCCGCACTCAGGCAAGTACCCCCAACGGCACAGGGAGCGAGCGCTCTGGTTACGAGTGCTGTGTGTGCATAGGTGAGCATTGTTTCTACTCACTTCTGTTTGCGTGTAGCAGAAAGGGGGGAAGAGCAGAGCTCAGAATACGGTGCGGAGAAAGAGAAAGGCAGGATTACAGACTTGTCAGAATAGAGAAAGGCAGCTAGGGAGAAGGAGACGATGGGAGGAAAAAGCGACAGAGAGAGGCTTAAGATTACAAAAGCATACGTCTTTTGTAGCCGGGCTCAGTTGGGATAGACAGCTAACATTTTTAGAAGGAGTGCACAACCATAAAACTTTCGGAGGATGTTCTCCTTCGCTGATCAAACTTGCGTCTGACAAACTAGGGAACCTGGACTTTGAGGAAGGCAAAGGAGGGTGCAGAGGTGTTTGATGTGATTGATCCAAACAGCAACAGAGCCGAAGGTGGGGCAAACACAATCCCCCCAGAGAAGTCTAGTCTAGGGGATCCCAGGGATTGAGTCTTCAGGGTAAATAACAAGTCATGCAAGAACAGGGGTGAAGCTGCTCTACAGAAGAGAAAGCGGGCGAGGGTATAGGCTGCGGGAGCCGATCCGAGGCAGTCCAGAGCAAAATTAGTCCACAGAGAAAGAGGGTTTGACACTGGACTGAAAAGAGATCAAGGCTGACTCAAGTCTTTGCTGCCTCTAACCTGATTAGGGAGAACAGCAGCAGAGGTGGAGGCGAGCTGGGAGACAGAAAGATCAACAGAAAGTACGAGCCAGCAAGAAAAGAAGAGAAAGAGAAAGAATTACACGAGGGCGCCTGACGAAAGAAGCCTCTTAAATCTGGGAGCTGGAATTAGAGCCGCAGGAACTGCAGAGGGGAAGCCACAAAACCGCAGTAAGTAAATTAGGATGCTGTGGCTGGAAAAATGTATAATGAAGTCAAGGGCGGGGGAAGGAATTTGTGGTTTTGTGAGTGCTTTATATACTGCTCCTTAATTAATTGATTTCCTGCTTTTACAGCTTTCGCATTTCATTATTCACCATTATGCTTTCCTTGTACCTTGCAGCTTTAAAACTCTACTTTTCCCCTTTGCTTAACTTACTTCTTCCTACCATCAGATCCTCCTTTCAGATCATCGTTTTATCTAACTTTCTATCTCCACATCATACAAATCCACAGGTGAAGATGCCTGCTAATGGGAACCATCCCTTGAAGCTGCAGTTTGGTCTAATTAATTATGAGGGTCGCTATCTCACAGCAGAGGCCTTTGGTTTTAAGGTACAGCAAGCCAACGTCTGGGTGTATTCATGGTTGCAATACTTCAAATGGAAGACAAAAGCCTGCCATTGTTGTTGTCTGTTCAGCTAAACCTTCAGAGTAACACCTGTCCGGTTTCCCAGGTGAATGCATCAGCATCGAGCCTAAAGAAGAAGCAGATCTGGACTCTGGAGCAAGACTCCCAGGACACCCAGGTGGTGTTTTTACGCAGTCACCTGGGACGCTACTTAGCTTCTGACAAAGATGGCAACGTTACCTGTGAGGCCGATGGCTACAATTCAGACTGCCGCTTCCTGATCGTGCCTCAGTCGGACGGCCGCTGGGCGCTGCAGTCTGAGCAATATCTTCGCTTCTTTGGTGGCTCACAGGACTACCTGTCCTGCTTCGCTCAGATAATCACAGATGCCGAGCTGTGGGCAGTGCACCTGGCTCTCCATCCTCAAGCCAACCTTCTGTCTGTCGCCCGTAAGCGCTATGCCCACCTCTCCAAGGAGGATGGGGAAATCGCCGTGGATGTTAACATTCCCTGGGGGGTGGAAGCACTCCTGACTCTTGTCTACCTTGATGGGAAATACTGCCTAAAGACTTGTGACGGCCGCTTCCTCAGTAGCGACGGAAAGCTGTTGAAGGAGAGTGGGCGGGCCACGGCGTACACGTTGGAGCTGAAGTGTGGGAAGCTAGCCTTTAAAGATTGTGAAGGGAAGTATTTGTCTCCCATGGGGCCTACGGGGACCCTGAGGTCTGGCCGATGCTCCAAACCTGGCAAAGATGAACTGTTTGACTTGGAGGAGAGCCACCCCCAAGTGGTTCTGACAGCAGCTAATGGCCGCTATGTCTCCATAAGGCAAGGTGAGAAAACACACCGATCAGTGGAACATTCTTCACTCATAAACATAGATTTGCCTGAAGTCCATGCATGCATGTAAAAGCTTTTCATCAGGAGTTCCTTCAGTCTCATTGAATCTCAAACAGCTGATTAAATGGGGAAAAGTTGCCCTTCAGCATCCCTGAAGGTGGTCACACGAGCTCCTGCTGACACAAGCGACCTGCTCACATACATAATAAAGCAGTGGCTGATAAGGGGTGCATGGTCATTACGAGTAATGCAGTCTCCTCTCAGCATGCATGTCTTTACATTTTATTTTCTGTTACCTAGCATCTCAAAATTTCTTCACAAATGAAACCTTTTGGCTTTGTTGGTTCTTGGTTTTAATCGTGTTCCTTTTACAATCGCTAACTTTCTGAAACAGTTTGTTGTCCCCTACAACCCGTTGAGTAATGTTTAGAACATTCTCTATACTTCCTCTTCGTTCTCGTGATCAGTCTCTTATGGTGGGTTTTTACAAGACATGACATCACGTTGCTGTGTCGATGGACTCCTTGTTGGCTCAAAAGCAATTTCCTCTGAAACGAAAGATAGGATTTCTTTGATCAGTGTAACGGTTTTACTCGAGTCATCCAACCTGAGATGCTGCACTTGAGTTTCAATCACTTTGGTTCGAAGGGTCCATTGGTCTGATTTGGAAATGGATTTGAAGGTAGATTAGCATACACTAACAGGGCTTGTCAACGCACTAGGTCACGTCTGCCACCATCTGGCTGCAGATTCTTGTCTGTGGGGTTGAATTACTTCAACTCTGGATGCAGTAACTGAATATGCCCTCATTGTTCCTCGTTAGCTTTGGGCACTGGAGACAAACTACTGCACAGAATTGGAAACTGACTGGTTGAAGGGGTACTAGGTAAAGCATAAAGCATGCATCATAACTCTAGAGTATTGCATGTTTGTGCATTTAAACATAGAAGAATTTTGCAACAGCCACTTCTCCACTCAATGCTCTTTCTTTTTATTATTATTGTTATTATTATTATTATTATTTGCTCTTCCTACACTTCGTTTGCACAAACAAAAGCTTCATCCTTCTCTGCAACGCTCGCCCACTCACAACCATCCTGCTGAGGCAAGTGGTGAGGCGTGCTGAATTATTGATGAAGCTGCATGGCCCCTGTTCCTGGAGGGTGAGGGGGAGCGTCTGCTTTCAGAAACCCAAGCTGCCTCAGTTACCTGTAGCCAAAACTTCTGCCCCAAAGAGCCCAGCTCTAACCCACTAATCTAACCAACTAACCTCAGACTCAGTCAGCACTTACACGTTGCTAAATACCAGAGAAAACAGACACATCTTGGTGGTCGTGGAAAATATGTTAGTCTGTGTGAGAAGGGTCAGATCTTTGGCATCAAGCAGAGAAAACATCTAAAGATATGCAGAAACGACTAAAACTGGGTTAAGAACTGTCCAATGCATTATTAAAAACTGGTCTGATGAGTCCGGATGGACCGTGTTCCAGTGTGATGGTGCATCAGGGTAAGAAGAGAGGCAGATGAAGTGATGCACCCATCATGTCTAGTGCCTACTGTACAAGTCTGTGGGGGCAGTGCTATGATCTGGGGTTGCTGTAGTTGGTCAGGTCTCGGTTCAGCAACAGGATGTGCACCAAGAATGAGGTCAGCTGACAACCTGAATATCCTGATCTTCCCTGCTGGCATGAACATATTCCAAGATGACAATGCCAGGATTCATTGGGCTCAGATGGTGAAAGAGTGGTTCAGGGATTGGCCACCACAGAGTCCAGACCTTAACTCCGTTGAGAATCTTTGGGATGTGCTGGAGAAGGCTTTGTGCAGCGGTCAGATTCTACCATCATCAATGCAAGATCTTGGTGAAACATTAATGCAACACTGGATGGAAATAAATCTGGTGATGTTGCAGAGGCTTATCGAAACAACGCCAAAGGGAATGTGTGTCGTAATCAAAGCTAAAGGCAGTCCAATGAAATATTAGAGTGTGATTTTTTTTTTTTTTTTTTTTTTTTTTTTTTTTGGTGGTGACATTTTTTTGGGCTGGGCAGTCATTCTATTAAAATAATTACATGACATTATTGGACGTATATTAAATATTTTATGTTCAGTCCATTTGCCTGTTCTAAGCTGTGTTTTAGTTTTTACTTTTCAGAGCAAACAATTTTAAATCAGAAATACAGAACTTAGGAGGGAAACTTATTTAGAATCAGAATTTTTTAGGTGAAAATGGATTTTATAGGGCCATGAATTCATTTAATTAATGATGGGCTTATACAGGTGCTGGCCAGTAAATTAGAATATCATCAAAAGGTTGAAAATATTTCAGTAATTCCATTCAAAACGTGAAACTTGTACATTATATTCATGCAATGCACACAGACCAATGTATTTCCAATGTTCATTACATTTAAATTTGATATTCATAAGTGACAACTAATGAAAACTCCAAATTTGGTATCTCAAAAAATTAGAATATTCTGAAAAGGCTGAATATAGAAGACACCTGCTGCCACTCTAATCAGCTGATTTACTCAAAACACCTGCAAAGGCCTTTAAAAGGTCCCTCAGTCTTGTTTTGAAGGCACCACAATCATGGGGAAGACTTCTGACTTAACAGCTGTCCAAAAGACAATCATTGACACCTTGCACAAGGAGGGCAAGACACAAAAGGTGATTGCTAAAGAAGCTGGCTGTTCGCAGAGCTCTGTGTCCAAGCACATTAACAGACAGGCGAAGGGACGGAAAAAATGTGGTAGAAAAAAGTGTACAAGCTCTAGGGATAACCGCACCCTGCAGAGAATTGTGACGACAAACCCATTCAAAAATGTGGGGGAGATCCACAAAGAGTGGACTGCAGCTGGAGTCAGCGCTTCAAGAACCACCACGAGGAGACTCATGAAAGACATGGGATTCAGGTGTCGCATTCCGTGTGTCAAGCCACTCTTGAACAAGAAACAGCGCAAGAAGCGTCTCGCCTGGGCCAAGGACAAAAAGGACTGGACTGATGCTGAGTGGTCCAAAGTTATGTTTTCTGATGAAAGCAAGTTCTGCATTTCCTTTGGAAATCAAGGACCCAGAGTCTGGAGGAAGAGCGGAGAAGCACAGAATCCACGTTGCATGAGGTCCAGTGTAAAGTTTCCACCGTCAGTGATGGTGTGGGGTGCCATGTCATCTGCCGGTGTTGGCCCACTCTGTTTCCTGAGGTCCAGGGTCAATGCAGCCGTCTACCAGGAAGTTTTAGAGCACTTCATGCTTCCTGCTGCTGACCAACTTTATGGGGATGCAGACTTCACCTTTCAACAGGACTTGGCACCTGCACACAGTGCCAAAACCACCAGCACCTGGTTCAAGGACCATGGTATCCCTGTCCTTGATTGGCCAGCAAACTCGCCTGACCTTAACCCCATAGAAAATCTATGGGGTATTGTGAAGCGGAGGATGCAATACGCTAGACCCAACAATGCAGAGGAGCTGAAGACGACTATCAGAGCAACCTGGGCTCTCATAACACCTGAGCAGTGCCACAGACTGATCGAGTCCATGCCACGCCGCATTACTGCAGTTATTGAGGCAAAAGGAGCCCCGACTAAGTATTGAGTGCTATACATGCACATTCTTTTCATGTTCATTCTTTTCAGTTGGCCAACATTAGAGAAACAAACATTTTTTCATTGGCCTTTAGAATATTCTAATTTTCTGAGATACCAGATTTGATGTTTTCATTGGTTGTCACCTATAAATATCAAAATTAAACGTAATAAACATCGGAAATACATTGGTCTGTGTGCATTGCATGAATATAATGTACAAGTTTCACGTTTTGAATGGAATTACTGAAATATTTTCAACCTTTTGATGATATTCTAATTTACTGGCCAGCACCTGTATGTGTGTAAACCTTAAGCACTCACTCAGATAAAAGCATAGCTGTTGATCAGTGGCCTGTGGGCATGAAAAGGTAAATTTTTTCAAAAAAGAGCAAAGCTTGGTCTGTTAAAATGTCTTGCGGTCTGCCTGTATCTGTCCTGTCTATATGTGTGTGTGTAATCTTGGTCAGGCTGTACTGTGGAGTCAAGTTCCTATGCTCTGGATCGCTGGAGCGCTGGCAATAAAATTCTTTCAGATTCTGATTCTGATGTTCCCACTGAAAGTTAAAGTTGGAACACATTGGGTGAAATCTAAAATGTGCAGATTATGTTAATGTAACCCAGAAGCTAGAACCTTAATGAGGTATTAACTAATTGGCTTACTAATATGATCCATCCTCAATTTAGATAAAATATAAAATATAAATTAAGGAAATTAACAATACTAATTAATAGATATCTAATTAACTAATAGATAATTTCATAATGAATTATTGGAAGGGTGAATAACTAAAATAACGAGTTTAATATTAAACATCGGTTAAAACAAGAATCTTGAACATCCCTAACAGAAACATAAGAGGAAAGCTGTATACTATTGGTCCAGGTGGGAATCTGAAATTTCATTGGCTGAGAGAAATAAGTCCCGCCTCCGCGAAATAAAACCGTGCGACGCAGCTGAGCGAGAGGAGAGACAAACGGCTGTGCAGCACGCAGATACAGAAAGCAAAGACTGAGCGGTTAGAGAGAGAGAGAGAGAGAAAAAAAAAACAACGGTCGAGGCCGTGAAGAACCCTGATTTGGGTGCCGCATAGATAGAGGGAGAGGCGGACTTGACTCCTTCTAATAAGAGCTAGGAACTTGGAACCAACGCGATTTGTGTGGAGACGACAGAGTGAACCAATCCTCTGTAGGAGGGAACCGTTGGAGCGCGTTGGCTGGGTTTTTTTTTTTTTCCTTGGGTTTGATCCCGACTCCTATGATCACTCACTTGGAACGAGAACTGGATTTCTTCCTGACGAGGGAGATGGCGAGCCTTAACCACTGAACGAACCAGGACATCTCAAGTAACTGAAGAGCAGACTGCTCTCTTCTGTGAACAATCTCAACGGTGTGGTAGGAAA